TATTTACTACGAGAATCGGAAAGTAGAAGAAACAAATCGATTGCAATAAAATTTATGCAGGAGTATTTGTTTTTACTGTTCAGAAAGAAAAGTGGATAGTTTTAATTAAAGCCACTAAAATTAGCTAAAWTTTTTTCTTTGTCGTTAATTAATAAAAAATTTGYTTAAATCAATCAGTTTACTAGCAAATTATTATTTACATAGGTGTGTCATTTTCATATTTATACTTCGTTCGGGGAACGTATGCCGTTGTAAACTTGCGTGATCAAAGCGTGATTCTTAAAAAATGCCTTACCATTGGTCACTGGGCAACGTACATACGTCGTTTCACCCTGGAAGAAGGAGTCAAATGCTACTGGTGCTCAATGGCTCAGTTGGGCCGGGATTCGGTTTTTTAATTTTMAAATTTTGGCGCAAAATGAACGAGGCTAAATTTTTGTGCCGTGTAAGTTCGGTTTCAAGCGTAATCACTGCACAGGGTGAGCGAATGGAGTATAGCTGRTTAGAGACAACTTGTGTAAATACTGCCGGAGACCCTTTCGGCACAAATAAAAAGTAAAACTTCCGTATTTCGATAATATCATTTCTAGTAAGTTTCATTAAATAACAATAATCATAAACTTGACCATATTTTGCAGCTCGATGGTTTTCTTGGAAAAATAGTAGTAAAAAATAATGATGTTATGAAGAATCGCAGTCTTTAAAAGCAACCGTCCTAACTTTATTTTCGATTCTAATGGCTCATATTTCTTTGTTTGTCAGAGCCGCCATTATGATGGGACTAAAGCGTATTGAAACTTGTCAATGGGGTCACACAAGGAAAAAATATTGTTGATAAAAAAAAAATCGGCAACTTTCTTTACACCAGAATTTGTTAATGCGAAATAATTAATTTAATTAAGATCGAAACTGTCACCGAATCGAGGTGACGATTACCAATTCCGATTTCAAATGTCACATTAAGACTGTCTGAAATAATTGGATCAATAATTGCACTGCACTGTTGAAAATTCGGCGCATAGTCGCAGCAATAAATCCAATTTTTCTTCTCTCTTGAACATGATTTTTTCTTTCAGTAAATAGAAATACGAAAAGGAAACGATGAAGACGCGCTAACTACTGACTCTCGAAACCGTTCAGATCCCTCGAGCTCCTTCAAGTGTCGCCCGCCCAGCAGCCCTCAAGTTCAGTCAATGTTCCTAAAGAGATAGCAAGAGGACCTCCGGTCTGCGTGGTGCGTGTCCATTGGCGTAGTTGAAACGGCTTAATCATTGGCGTAGAGATTGCACCTTCGCTTTGCCCGATGGGGGGCGATACCTCCCCCGAGCAGCAGTACTCGCTGCGTTGGAATGATTTCCATTCGTCGATTCTTTCGTCGTTTCGACACTTGAGGGATGAAGAAGACTTCGTCGATGTGACATTGGCCTGTGATGGATGTTCGTTTACAGCACACAAAGTTGTGCTGTCGGCGTGTAGTCCCTACTTTAGGAGGTTGCTCAAAGCCAATCCCTGTCAACATCCCATCGTCATCCTCAGGGACGTACAGCAAAAAGACATGGAAAGTCTGTTACGGTAAGTAGGTTTTTCGAAACACCAACTCGAATAAATTGTGAAAGAGATATTTTTAACTACATATGTGTATTGGCAACTAGAAAAATTTTCATATTGCGGATGAAGAGATGCGAAGCAGATGGAAACATGTGTATTTAATATTGAATTAATTTTTTTCACGTATCGAACTAGAACTATAAGTAATTCTGATTTAAAAAGAAATTTAAAATTTAAACTACAACTGTAATTTGTAACTGGTGATATACAGGGTGTTTGATGCAATCAATAATACATATTCCGATACGAACTCGATTACAAATTTTGAGAAATTGAATAATCTTCTCTAGTTTGTTCACCTTTTAAAAAATTACAACGTTTTCAGTTAGTTAGTGATTAAGATAGATAAACTAGAATCATATTCATGCCGTCTCTTGATAGAACAAATGATAATTGTTTCTGAAAACAGCAGTTTATGACTATTAATGAAACAGTGATTAGTTTGACAAYTACTGTCATGGGTTTCCAAAAATTAAAGAGTTAGAATTGTATTTTTTGTATCCAGTGTTTTGTRACTTTTGTATATTTGGGTGCGGACATAACGCGCAGGCCTCGTAAAGTTGTGTGAAACACCCTGTATTCATTGGCGCAGTCAGAGATTGGGGGGTTCACTTTTGTGGTAGTAGTAGATATGTATGTACAGTCAAATTTAAAAAAAGTTGTCGTTATCAGTGTTACATTTTCGCATAAAATTAATTATTTTTGTGTAAATGAACGTTCTTAAATTTAGAAAAATAAATTACACTTGGCATCATGAAGTTTGGTAATTAGTCATAAAATCAATTTTTTTGTTAAACTGTAAATTATTTATTTATTATTTCTTCATTTTTGAAATGTCCTTGACGACCACTTTTTTTTAATGTGACTGTATGCACAGTGGCTAGCAAAACATTTCGGGCATTTAAATGTCATTTCAAGGCGATGTGGTTTGGGCTTAATTTTCATAACTTTCTTTTTGAACCCAAAAAACACATGCAACTAAATTAGAATTTGAAAAAATAAAAATATGATGATGTTTTTGCAACACAAAAAAATAATAATGAAAAGTGAAAAAAAAAAAAGACAAAAAATATAAATTTTCTTGGAAAATAGAAACGCAATATTGCAAACTCTGTATAAATTAAAAATGCTTTTGAAAAATAAGGAAGAGTGCAAATAAGTAAAAAAATCTAAATAAGTGGAATAACCTAGAAAAATTACCTTGCTTTGAAAAGAATATTAAATGACATTCTGAGTGGGACCCTTATAAGCTTTCCAACCTTTCTTGAAAAATTGTTAAGTCCAAGAAACACATGTCGCTATATTTATTTAAAGCGTTCGTCCAAATTGATTTTGTTATTCCAAATGTTAGACTCAGAAAGATTTAATGTGAGAAATTTTTGCGGATCCGTAGTAAGAGTCCTGCGGCTCTCCAAGGGTCCGCAGACCATGGTTGCTCAAAATTTAAAGTTAATTTACAAATTTGCAAAAATCACAGGAGCAGAATTCCTGTGGGAAATTCCTAAAAAAAGGAAAGATCTTAAACGTTGAGAAAAAGAGAATAAGTTAACTCTGCGTGTAAATTGGATATATAAAGCACTGACTTGACTCGAGTAGCGTCGATAAGCTTCTATGCAGGTAAAGAGCTTGCCGAAGAAGTCGAATAAAATAGAGATTCGAATCTTTCCACTGCAGGTGTCATTTAGGTGATACATTTCCAGCATCCCGGTGACAGCTTTCATATTTCCAGATAAGTTGTTTAATGTTCAAAAACGAAATCCACGAAGCGTGAAAACGTCGTTGTTAGAATTGATGGGTTTTAAATTTCGGTATTGTCTTTCCAGATTTATGTACAACGGAGAAGTTCACATAGGACAAGAACAATTAACGGATTTTTTAAAGACTGCACAAATGTTACAAGTGAGGGGATTAGCCGACGTACCGGCGGGTACTGCAGGACAAAGACTGACTGCTCCAGAGCAAAAGATCTCACCTGTAAGTAACATTTTCTCAATATTTTAATGGAGTTAGAAATTACGACACAATACGTTTGTTTTCAATGTCTTGCATTTATTTACTGAAACTTGATCATACAACCTTGGATTTTATATTATTTTATATGTTAATACGCCTAAATTGTTATTTGGCTAAGTTGTAATAAATTTTGGCACCAATTTTAATTACATTTATGACATTAAGTCTAGCATGCTATCGAAGTTCGACTAACCTTGTATTTTGTTTCTAATATATATCTAATTAAACTAGTTTATGATTTTTCAACCAAGTTCGGGGTAAAAATGTAGGCCGTTTAGCTCATCCCAACGCGCACCTATCTAAACTACCAACTAAAGTTTTAATTACCTACTAACTAATGTATGTACCCTAATAACTACGTTACGGCGTCTTATCCCTCACGTAATTTAATTAAATTCGGTTAATACATAAGTGAGTTTAGGTAATTTGTCACGKGTGACCGAGAGAAAATGCCAAATTCACRTCACATTTTTAATAAAATTACGGTTTGAAAAATGACCCCAATTAGATTACTATTTGATTGAATGATTTAATTAGAGAAAACTAACGCTCATCCGTATTTCTAGTTATGAGTAATTGCCACAAATAAATCTAATTTTACTAGCCGGACTAGGTAATTTTTTTACTCGAATAAAGGGCGGAAATGTCATTTAAAATGTAAAATATTGGAAACAGCTGCCCAACCATCCCCTAAAGGGCACGAAAACACCATAGACGTGACACAGATTTGTTCAAATTTTATTCGGATATTTTTGAGAGTAATTAAAGTTTCGGAGAAGTTGTAAAGTTYAGGCTGTAAATTAGGAAYAATCACTGTAGGGAGTCTATTGATAAATTAGTACTAAGGGACCAGAAAGGCGACCCATGATGCACTTTACTCCGTAATGTGAGAAAATGATGTATATGATGCCATTTATTTTCAGTTTTATTTATTTTCCTTTGGCCAGGTTAATAATGAAAATAGAAATAATTAAGATAACTTGCGTAATTATTTATTTAATTTTCAAGGAGAATCACGAAAATCTCATTTGTAATTAATGGGTACAGGTTTTATTGGTGGACATCTGCAAAATTCTGCAAACATTTTCATAATCATGAGACTAGTTTTATTTTGTGACCTTAGGACGATCTTAAAACTGAATGAATCAGTTAAATTTTTGTGCATCAGCAATGTAAATTATTTTATTATTTTTAAGAATATACATGATTCAAGAATAAAATTGTACGTTTCTCCACCACCAATTAGTGATTTTAGGACAGTTAGCGGCAATTATCAATTAATCACCGGAAACTGAAATTATTGAAAAATTTTCCATTAATCGGAGTCTCTCAGGTGCTGGTATTTTTTGCGCAGAAATATCAGAAGTAATGACCTCTGATCGATGATAGTTCGCTACACATGCAGTGGAGTGTAAAAAAATTCTAAAAGTTAGTCTTTTACTAAATATACTAATTACCACTTATTTCCTTTTGATAAACAACTTCCTTAAAATCAATCTCTCGTCTCGGTTACTCGGTTAAATTTTTAATGGAATAATTGTCAACGATAACCGCACCATAGATTTATAAACAATAATCAACAATTCAATGACGACCAGTAATAATAACTATAACTCAAGACTTGTCAAGTTTAAAAGGTCAAATTTAGACAATCATAAACTTAATGAAGTGAATTTTTGGCCTAATGCAGATTGGTAAACCAGTCTAAAGAATGCAGCGCTACTGAATTCCCCGAGCTAAATTAATGCAAGATCGGATGATTTTTTAATCTTGTCCTCAAACTCACCCAGACGTAAAGTTTATTGACTATCTGTTTACCGAGCTCATTGCATGAAATATTTATTTGTTTACTAAGAAAAATGAAAGAAGATGTCTATACTGAATTGCACTCATTATTCACGGTGAAGTACACGCAAGTTTTGATTTTGTGTACTAGTACGCGTTTATTATTCAAATTTCATTCATGAAAACAGTAGTTATACCACTCTCACCCCTCGCGTAATTTGGAAATCAATAGTGGCGTGGTATTTTTAAAAAAGAATTTTGATTAAACGCAATAAGGAGCTGCCGACAAGATTCTAGTAGAGTAGCACTTTTTGCTATCTACTTAGGCCAGTTTTATGGAATTCAGGTGCTTATATAAAAAGCAGTAGTTGATTTAGAAATAGATAATAAAAACAACTTTTTACATTAATTTATGTTAATTAGAGGCGAATACGAATCAATAGTACCAAGTCATAAATCACTCCCGCTCATAAATAAAACTCCCGAGGTGTAATTATTTTATGGATTGGAAATTACGGTACACATTTCCTGGATCTTAAATACCGAAAACCGAAGCTCTACTTCGTAAAAATTTGACGACCTTTTGAAATGACTTTCCAAAGCCCTGTTGTGACTTACCGCCTTGAGAAATGTTATTGATTTATTGCACCGATGACCATTATCGCTAAACGCCCCCGGTGAGCCGAAATCGACTCTCGAAATTAAATAAGAAAATTTGCCTACTCGTGCCCGAAGCCACTATTTATAGAAACGAATATTTCACGGTTCATAAGTTCTGTATTTTGTCGATTTTAGAATTCTTCATCTTTACCGTGGGCGACGGACCGATCAGATGCTCTCCGTGAGGGTGCTTTATCGCCGCCCCCAGCTAAAAGGTCCAGGAGTTCGGAGCGAGGGACTTACACTCCCGATAGGGGGCGAAGTCCTTCTAGGGGAAACGGCGACATGCAGGAATCTCTCCTCGGACAAGCCTTGGAAGGCGGCCCCACGATACTCACTAAAGAGGTAAAAATCCACACTAGTCTAAAAATTTAAATGTGCGGTTGCGTAACTTTGAAAGTCGCAAATGCCGAGCTAAGTGGTATTGAAAAAAATTCATTCAGTTTTTGGTGGTCAATGACTCTTATTTGCAGAAGGGAAATTCGGATTCGTCGTTGCAAGCACAATCCACTGGCGAGGACAGCAACAGCAGCGATACGGCGATGAGCGATCATGGAGACCCTGTAACCCCAAAGACTGAACCTTCCGATTACCCCATGTTAGACGATCATCATCCTTTCAATACCAATGGTGGGCTAATTGATCAGACGCGGACTCCGACATTTCCAGGCGCGTTGTTAGGTCTACAAGGTAAGATTATAACCCCTCTAAGTCTAATTTATTTTATAATTGCCTGTGTGGATTCGAAGGATTAGAGCAGACTAAAATATAGTTACAAGTAAATATTTGCGCTCTTGGGTAATTATCCTGTTAAAATTTCTACAATATTCGAACACTGGCAACTAAAAAATGATTAGTAATGCTCTAGAGCCTCGGGAAATCAATCAGRTTTGATAATCTCTCGATCACTTCCACACATCGCACGACCGTTATTGTCTATATTTCACGATACTAGAATGCCTTATCGCCAAATTCCTGCCATTTTCTAACGTTAACATTGTCCCAACTCGCTCGTTTAAAATGGAAATTTTTTATTTGCTTGTACTGACCCGGCATGACCTATCAAAACTCAAATATGTCGAAGACTTGTTGTAATATATTTATCAAATTCCAACTGTTCATTACAAATGGTTTAAGCCAAGTAATTTATGTAAATGGGTAAATGATGGTATTAATGTCAGACTTTTTCATTCAAAATCTCCCAGCGGTGATTGATGTATCCGAATGGATTCGACTGAAGAAATGAAACAAAGCGAAACTTGATTTTTCATATTTAAACGCGTAGGAAGCTTGCATCAACCAATTTCAAATTTAAATGTGTTATTACCGTAAAAATAAGAAGCGCAACTAATGTTATTTTGGGTGACCTCAAAGCAGCACGTTTTAGACCCTGGGTTTCAAAATCAATTACTTTGATGTAATCAATTTTATTTGCCACAAAATAAAAGAGATTTTGTTGCTTGTTAAATCAAGTGGCATTTTGGTTTTAACAGTTATCCACCTACATTATACACAAATACACATTTCAAACAATACAGTATTTTAAAATCATTTCCGAAGTAGGTGGGGGCTTTTGTATATAAGATAAAAATGTTTCAAAGACATTTGTTCACTGTCAAAGTAATTTTTATGATGTAAAGACTCATAATTTTTATAATTCACTGTTATAGAACGTAGTATGAAATTTCATTAGACAAATAAAGAAATAGCATAGTAGACCATTTTATATTTGTTTATTTTTTAAATGTTTTGTTTTCTCTTATTATTCGCCGTCTAATGTTTTTTATTCAAAACTAGTTGAGTACCGAAACTTTTCTCTTCATTGATTTGTATTGGCGTTTAGAAACGATTACTGATAATTTAATCATTTCATATAAGCTAAAATGAAGTAAAATGTGTTTACTTCATCTCGATCAACAAAGAATTCAATGGGAACAGCATGAACCATTAAATGTAATTTGTTATTCAAGATTACTCCGATAATCTGAAGTAAAGTGATTATATATACTTTAATCTTATTACGCTAATTACGTTTTTTCAGGATTCTTGGCGCTCCGATTTTTCATAGAATAAATATTTTAATGATTTATGTTTTTCTTTTTTTTCTGGTCTTAAAGTAGCTTTTTCTAAAGAATTCGTTTGTAATAAATCTACTAAAATTAGTTTTCGATACTTTATTAACACAGCTTTGATATATAAAAGTCATCTTATTATTGATGGTTTAWTCTGCAGGATTAGGAGGACTTATGCCAGGACCCTCAGGGATCCATAATAGTACGGACAATTTCGGTAAGCCCCTTTACTTATTTTTTTCTGGAAAAACATTGAAAAGTCAAACATATTAAATAGCCATATATCGCGCGTTTTCTCTCGGAAGAGAAATGTCGTTAATATTTAAGTATGTGAGGTGGTCAAACGGGAGTAAAAATCAAGAAATGACATCTGCCACCGGATATCTAAAATGGAACGCTAAAGTTTTTTATATTAAATATTTTATTCTTCTCCCGCATCGTGCAGTTTTGACAAGAGTCCTACAATATGTCAGATGACCTGGCAGTGACCAGTAAGGAAAAGTAATGAAAAATGAAAGTGACTGGAGGATTCTGAAAGAGAAAGAACCGAAGGGAAGATAAAATTTGGTCGATTAGTCGTGACCTGAGTGATGTAGAGGAAAAATTAAATTTGGTTTATGTGATGGAATTAGGGCGAAGATTTAAACTAGGTTTGACTAATTTGCGAGGAATTGTTGTTTCTGGAAGAGTGTATTAGACGAAAGGCCTTTTTTAATTAGGTAAATTTACACTCAAAAAGACTCTTCCGATAAAATGGTTTAGGGATTAAAAGAAAATACGCTTCGATAAGCAGCTTAACGCACGGTCTCGCCGTTATCCATTTTCCGGGACACACCGCGAAACCTTTCCTTCTGCTTTAAAAGAGTTTCGTCGTATTGTTTGCCTGTACCCAGCCATCGATTTCTTCGAGCCTAACCCCAAGTCCACATAATAGGAAATGAAGTGAACTCTATAAACATTCGGCCATAGATAATTTTGACGGGGGGCCTTCTAGTTGCTACGGTTACTCATAAAATTACGCACGCTTATTCCGGAAACTACCTATTATAATTGAATTTCTTGTAGCTTCCTCTACCGTATTAAAATTGTTTCCTCCAACCCCAGTCTTTAATTGCGTTTCGGTGTAAAAAAGTTTCGGCGACACCCGAAAGCACTCCAATTAAATTTGTATGAGCGTCTAAGTGAAGGGTCTTGCTGTAGGTGTCGCTGGGGCACCTCCGAAGTCCGGCCTGGACAAAAGAGGAGAGACATACGAACGGACCGTATAAATCAATAGACCAATGCCGGGAACGGGGGAATACATCCACAGCAATCTCTCGATGTTTGACTGTGTGCTTGCTATCTAGTTCCCCTCGACCTTCTGCCCCTCTTGAGCAGTTCGATCAATTGCAGAAGCGCTCGTTAAGATTGTTTACGCGCTACAACATTCACGAAAATGAAATTACTTGCACTACGGCCGGAATAAAACTTTGCGAAATCGACTTCCTGCAATGCTTTATTTTCACAAACATCAACATCTCGCAGAGCTGAGTTATAGATGTCGTTTAAGCATCTGCCATTGTGTTAATCCATTTCCCATTTTACTCCTGAAGCACTCTGAAATATTGTCAAGATCCACGATAAATCTTATTTTTCATACTCTTTTATTCCCGTTTATTGTTAATTTTTCGCAGAGGCTTTTTTTTATTGCTTAGTCTCAAACCCGATTTGCCTTCAGTGTCACACGTTGAGACTTGGGGAACATTCATTATTGCAGAAACCGGTTAATGTCATGAAGTTCAAGTATAATGAATGGACACAGAAAGAGGATATTTTTCCACAGTTTGTCAAAATTTTAACGATAAACATAAAAATATTGTAATTTTTAGAGTCCGGTTATTATAATGATGTTATTCACTTTAATCTTTCCGTTCTGATTGAGGTTTTTGGTGTCAACGTTTTTTCACCTGGGGCTACATCGAATTATTTTTACAGCGAATTACAGAAATATTTTCCATTCAAGGCTCCCTGCGTAAACAAAGAATTATATGTCTCTCAAAAACAATAGGAAATCTTGCTAAATTTAGAAATTTCTTGGTGGTTTGAGTTCGGGTTGATATATTTCGYGTAAAACTTTCATTTCCGTTTGGGAACTCTTAATTTTGAAGTGAAATGTTATTCTTTTCCGAAATGGTCTCTGGCTGACAGTGGAATAATTTAGTCGGAAAAACGCCGAATTTCTGTTTCSCCTTAAGTCGAAATAAAAGTCGATGAACTTGAAAATGCGAACCTTATTTTTATGTGGCGCTAGGATTGAGATGCATTGCTGAATAACACATTTATRAAAACATTTCGATTTCTGGAATATAAAAGGAAATGAACACATTTCAGAGGATATTTCTGTAGGTGTGAGAAAATCCCGAGAAAGCTCAGAAATACAGAAAAGCTGTTTATCACCGCCTGTACTCCGAGAAAGGAAAGGAAAATCCGGTGACTCGTCGAGCAAAAAAGGATGAGAAAAGCGTGGAGTATGTCAGTGTTTTGCCTTATATTACCGGACTGTATCAGTCGGCAATGCCGGCCCTCGTTATCGACTGTTCGTGCTTGGACGCTATAACGCACATTTATTACTTTATGTTCGATAAAGTCCCCATTGCTTTGGTATATTTTAAGAAATTACTCGTTGCCTACTCGTATTTTACTTTTACGTCGACAGATTACGTCTTTCTTGGGCATTAATTTTATTACGTTCAGGAAAAGGACCCAAGCATGGGCTTTTTATTTCACAGAGTAATGCTCGCTATTGCATGTCAGGARGGGAATAATGTAGTATAATGAAATGATATTACAACCAAGCCCGAATTTCGCTGTTATAGGTCACTTATATTTTTAGTTGCATGATTTATCGCGCTAAAATAATGATTTACCCCCACCTCCTTCATACATTTTTTAATTAAAAATTTAATAGGTAGCCGGAGCATACAAGTAATTGATCTCTTTTTTGTATCGTATCGTATTTTGTTTGTGTAAAGTATAATTAGCTTGTGCTTAGATGAAACTGAGCGTTAARTATACATTTTTTCACAGAACTAAGTAGTTTTAACGAAAAAATTAAAGAAATGTAGTTACTCATTTTTAAATTGTGTGCGAGTAGAGTCGATTCAAAAAGAGTAATTACTTTAATGATTTCAATTCGAACCAATTATAACCTCCATTATTTTAATAACTTTAAATTAAAGGATGTACTTAGCATTGCTCAAGCGAACATCTGAAAATCATTTATACATTACTCGCAGAGTGTTTTTATGTCAAGTGGGCAAATCAAAATAAGTAGCGTCWGAGTAATTGTAGTAATGCTCAAGATGGGGCAAGTAGGAAATAAAAATGGTCGTTAAGCAGCTCGCAACTCATACTTTACATTTGCGGGGATCCCCATAAAAAAGCAGATAACCAGTTATTAAAAAGGATTTATGGCTAATAAACGGAGGAATAGGAAAAAAGGAAACGGACTTGCAAAGATAATGGCCAATTTGGTAATTGGAAGTGCAATATAGAGTCGGGAAACACGAACCGCGTTATTTTTCCTAATATAATTTACTAATGCCGCCTCTGTTGTTACAGGGGCGGCACAAGCAAATGCGGCTAATTGTTCCTGGCAGGAGAAGCCCAAATGTCAATACTGCGGCCGGCTTTACTCAAACCCCAGTAACTTAAGACAGCACATCATAAACGTACACGTGCAGACGTCGCAAGAGAACTGGATTGTGTGCAACTTCTGCGGCAAAAAGTGCAAGACGAARCACTACTTGATCAACCACCAGCTCCAAGCKCACGGAATCAGACAGCGCCAGCACGCGCCCACTTATTAGTTCTAGTTGTTTATTGTTGTTTATAATTAGATTAAAATCGTATAAATGCAACTAAAAGTGCAGCGAGATTTGGCATTGCAGATGCCAGCACCACGGGACCGGGAAGATATCCTGCAGCAGAACAACCAGCTGGGGTATCCATCAAGTACGAGTGCCCRCTATGCGATCTCATTCTGCCCTCGATCAACGCGGCAAGATCACATATCGATGAACACTATCCTAGAGACAGTCCTTTGTGTCCTGTGACTGAATGCGGGAGGCGCTTTTCACACCCTAATTCTGTGCGAAATCATATGAGAAGCAAGCACTCCAAACAGTGGGACATTATGAAACAGATTAAGTGGAGCTTGTAGATTTTACAGTGCGAAACGCRATCACTGTGCTAAACGGACGCTTTAAACCTCATCTAATGCGCTCAGTGGACGTTTAACATGTTTGACTTTACTTAGAACACTTGCGTTATTGTAAATTTGTAGTTACCAGAAACTGTTGAGATGTAGTGATATTTTGATTGCCAGTAAATTTTTCAAATAAAATACTAGCCCTTTCATTATACATATATTCAACTTAAATACCTAAACAATGTGACTATTTTTTTTTTCTAGTTTCAAGACGTTCTTTGGACATGATGAGAGTCAGAGCGACAGACCCAAGACCGTGTCCAAAGTGCGGCAAAATCTACCGATCTGCTCACACATTACGAACTCATTTAGAAGATAAACATACGATATGTCCTGGTTATAGATGTGTTTTATGTGGAACAGTTGCAAAATCGAGAAATTCGCTACATTCACATATGTCTCGCCAACATAGAGGAATAAGTACAAAAGACCTGCCTGTTCTACCAATGCCCGCACCATTCGATCCGGAACTTGCCAGCAGGTAAGACCCAAACAATCAAAGATCATATTACTTGGGTAGGTACTTGCAATGAAAAAACAATTCAAACTGTACTCATTATTATCAGAGGTGGATAGTATACGAGGGTTTACGAATACAAAAGTCCATCTAAAATAAAAGAACTAATGATAGTTTTCTAGAACATAGAGTGACTAGATATAATTGTTTATTAAACAGTTTTGATAGATCATTGATTAAAGGTTTTTATTTTAATGTACAAATAMTTTTCTGTATATTAATATTGCCAATAAGTAAATTCGGAAACATAAATTATTTACTCAGTGAAAGGTCACACGTGTTATATTATATTTCCGTTCATAGTTATTTTCTAAGTGGTATTAACGTTTAAGCAATCATTTACTAATGACACGTATTAATGCAAATCGATAATTAATTGAAAGAAAATCAACTGTTAATAGGCCATTACTGGACAATTTTATCATTAAAGATGGCAAAAATTCGAAACTTCTTAATTAAATGTGAGAAATCTCCATCAAGTTTCYTTAATTTTTTTCAAACCTACATAATACGAAGAACAGATTGATATTGTATTTCACTTGTTAATTTTAATTGTTAATAATAAAGTTATATCAAATTTCGTTTTCTATCTTTTTTCTCACAAAGTTGTTTTAATTTTCCAGGTTGTTGGCAAAGGCCGGCGTGAAAATAAGCCCCGCGGAGCTGCGAGCGCGCGCGTCTCCGACGGGTCCGCGACGGTCCGACGTGAAGTTGGACGCGAAAAGCGCGTACTCTGGCGCGGCCTCGGAGGCCGGTAGCTCGATATGCGGCGACAACGACCCCGAAGACCTGACAATCTCGCACCAAAGGTATGGAGGGCTAGATTTAGCGCTGTCCCCGCCGTCGCACTACCCGAACTCTAACTTTAGGTTTAACTCGACGGGTCAGGCGGTGGCCGCCAAAAGCGTTGACTCTCTAGCCCACAACCTGTCGAAGGAGCCGTACCCCGCGCCGCTGCCCCCGCCCGTRTCCGGCGCGAACTCCACGGGGTCGGCCATTCTAGACACTTATCTGCAGTTCATCACAGAGAACAGCCTCGGCATGGGGATGATGTCGTCTGAGCAGGCGGCGGCGGCTGTGCATGCCGCCAAGCTGGCGCAGCTTAACGCCATGGGGCTGGACAAGGCCTCGCAGCAGCACTTCCTCGAGAAGATGCAGCAGCAGATGCAGAGCGCCAATGAACTTATGATGAAACGGAATGACGAGATCAGGCGAGGTGACGCCGAGATGGTTAATCACGAAAGAGAGCGAGAAAAGGAGAATGATGAGGGGGAGTCCTCGGGGGGCGAAGAGGAGGATTACAGTGAGGACGAAGCGGAACCGGAAGCGGTCAAAGCAGGGGAATAGTTGTACATAGGATGGAAGAATGAAATTTGAAAAATGCTAGAATAAGTTTGTTAAGGAATCAGTCGCCGCCACTCTTGCCAAGTATCATCCAAGTTAATACTCATTTATTCCATCCAACTACCTCAGTTTTTATCTCATAGAATATTTATTGATTACATTTCCTTTTATAGTGGAGGAACGGTGGCTCCACCCCTTCTACTATAATGATACTAAAAATTCCATCCGTCTACCTCAAAGATAGTATAGGTTACGAGTGCAAGATAATAAGGGTTTTCAAGTGTATACGGTATCTTTAGACATAGTTGAAAAAATTTATATTGGACTACGTTGCAGTTATAAAATAACTTAAAAATCGGTGTTTCAGTAGGCTGTTGTGTAGGTTTGTACTGCATTAGAAGTATCTTGCCGGGTTGTTCCTTGATTATTTTCGCAACGGGTCCGTACATTTCAGATTCAAGCACGCAAACTCAGATTTAACAAAATGTTTTAATCCAATTACCTCAAACTCAGGTCGGATCGATATCAGGATAGAATTTTACCGGTTCCTATATAAACTACTACACAAAACAGTACTTCCATAATAGCATTTCGTCAAGTCTGAGCCCGAGTGCTCTAACCATGGTCCACGTGTAAACATGTTTAATAGTGTGTATTTTGAATATTTTCAAAGATTACGTACTTGAATTATTAAATGTGTTTATCGCAACATGTATACATTCAATTCAGGTGAAAATGGTACAAAGCGTTTTTGCCTTTACATCAATATTTTTGTACGTAACTTTAAAGAAGAAATACTGAAATGTTACAACTTTTTGAGATTTTACTTTATTTTATAGAATGCTTCCACATATGTTCGTATGCTTCCCGTTATAAGCAATTCGTAGCTATATAACAATCAAATTGTACTATTAGACAAAACATACACTTGTATGTTAATTCATATTCATCTCTCAGGACGCTCCAATATCATTCTACCGAAGTACAAATTCCCGTATCACGTTTACAAGTTTTGTTAATTTTTTTATAATTTTTTGACAAACGATTCTCACATTTTCAGGGATTTTCTCAGATTCTTGCCAACAAGTATCAGTATCAAATTATTTTTACATTCTTAATTAGTCATAATCAGTGATAATTCGTCAGGTAAATAATAGCAAATAATCAGGTATCATCAAGTCATTTATTAGAAATATTCATAGATTCATTGTATCATCAGTCACTAGGTTAAGTGGAGATAGTGCTTCTTTATTAGAATTTAAACTTCCATTTCAACTTCCCCAGAACTCGTTGTTCCACCCACTAGTAAGCTTACAAAACAATTGCATAACAGGCATCGCGGTCTCGTCACTTACTAAGTAGTTCTTCCATTTATTTATATACTGTTGCAATAGTTATATACTCGTATTATTTACATATAAGTATTTTTTCTTAATTTTTTTTAATTCGTAATTTTGACTCAGAAGTACTTATTTTTATACCTCGCATATTCATGCTTGTCGCTATAAGCCAAGTTCAATTGGTAGTTCGTTGTTTCCCGGTGGTAATCATTGTTAAATGTTCATAGAAAGTATTTGCTTACGTTCAAGACAAAGCATAGGAATAGAATAAGAACTAGAATAGCGATAGCACTCGAATAGAGGTCATTGTTAATTATTGAATAAGATTAACTAGCATAGAACATATTGTTAAATGCAAATACTTCGATGTATACCAATAGGAGGAAGCACCTTCGAGTTTTGTTCTTAAATGGCTTGCATATTCGGTACCAGTGAAAAACCCATCGCTTTAACTTGTGAGTATGCCGTACTACACTCGATGATGGCAACGATTTAAGAGCAAAACGGATATGTTTAAGCAAATATGAGCTTGAATACTGTTCCTTCCATGATTAGACTTGACAAAACGAAGGAACAAAATATTTTTATGGTGCTTTTTGTTTCGAGAGATAACAATATTGATTTTGAGGTATGTTATTGTATATAGTCTCATATTTCTTGTTAACACGTAAACTTACGTGACGTTTCAATTTTAAAACTAGCATACTGTATATATTTTTATTTTCTCTAATACCAATAAAATGCAAATAATTATTATTAGGTCTGTTCGGATAAGAGACCCGCCAAATTTCTGCAGTTAAAATCGAATTTATTTGCGTTTTTAATGTCAGGTATTTGTTAGATACTCAATAGCTGCAGGATGAGGGGTGTTGACGATGTCTCATTATTTTAACGCTGTTGTGATGTAGTATTATTTTGATATTGTTGTTTTTTCACGTTACCTACCTCATTTTTATAATGATTAGTGAGACTTACCTCACCTTGACACGTATTAAAAACTCAGAAATGACATTGCAGATCTCTCTCCAATAATACTGGTATTTTTTGTACTTAAAAAAGAAACAAAATATCAAAAAAATATTTTTTAGTTTTAAGCTTAGACATGTACATACAAGTTGTTTTATAGAATTTGCAAGAAATGATATTAAGTATTTGTGAGAAATCCTTACGGGACTTATGGCGAGCTTATATAAGTGTGCAGTGCCATATATTAGAAGAAAATCTTTTTGCAACTTCTTGTGCGCAATAAATTGCAAAAAGCTTTGTGTTTTATATATAGGACTCTACAGCAGTCGTTAAGAAATGCAAATAAACCGGAGTAATGGTTCCTAATTTAGTACGGTTCCTCAACAATAGTTTTTATGAACAATAGTGAACAAGCCTTCTGATAGTCCCGTATTTCCTACTCACAGTTTTTCTTTCGTTGAGTTTTCATTTATTTTAATGTTGTATTATTACTATGTAGAGTGGAATATTGTGTAAAATGTGTTTATTGTTGAGGGACTGGGTGCCTTCAGAAAATAATTTACCAGCTGATCGTTAGAAACATCTAGCGATATTAAGCTGAACAGAGTTCCTAACATAACTCCCTTTACGAGAGGTGAAAATACATTTAAAAACAAATAACTTGTAACTTTTATATAGCGTAGTGAACCGTTGACACCGAAATATAGTTTTGCTAAACGGCAGAATCGTATATACACTATATTATTATATAAAATAGGTGTATGTGTAAGAGTATATAAACTGATAGGTATACCTAAAATACCCCCGTGTCCTTTTCATTATTTGCATTTCTTTTTTTACTATTATTTATGTTTGTACTTAAACGGAAGATGTGAAAATATTTTATTTTTGAGATTTTTATCGTTATTTGTAACGTTCTCTTTGTTTGTAATTAAAATGTTCCTAATATTTAAGTTAGGGTTATGTTAAGTTTTTATTGTCCTTGTTTAATTAGAGGTAGGTGCAATAAGATCAACACAATTAGTGACGTTATAAATAAATACCTATTTGCCATATTATTATTATTCTATTATTAATACGTTGTGTATTGCTTGGGTATCATTTATACATTATAAATTAATATTAAAAATGCCTCTTATTTTACTTCTCTTCAACCATTTCTTCTTTAACACTGTATTTCGAAGATGAAATGAGTGTGTAGTTCATATCTCGAAGTAGAAAAGTCAGTAGGTGAGTTCACTTATAAGTATAATAAGAACAAATAACTTTGAGATCACACGAAGTAACAATCGCAGTCTTATTATATTACACGTAAAATATGTGCTACTTACTATTAACTTTTACTTAATTCCAAATTACTAGTTTTCATAGTCATAGTTAATGAATGTGTTTGATTTGCATATTAATTAGCCTTTTGCGTTAAACGACTGCAAAAATATAAATTAAGTATAGTACTCATAACATACTCGTAAGATCGTTGGAAAAAGGTAATATAATGAAAACCAGTACCAAGACAATAGTGGAGTTGTATCTGTAATTTTTATTATGTTTCATGTATGATGTGTGTAGAGCTTTTGAGCTAATAATAACACAAATATAATATTTGACTCGGAAGAAGAAAAAAACCATTTGGCAGACAATTATTTAAGACATAATTTTTTGACAAATAATTTCCACAACCTTTGCAGTCAGGCAAGATTTACGAATATCATTACGGATATAGCTATCAAATAATTATGTTGATGAATTTTCAAATGAGATTAATGTAAGAAAAACCTAAATTCTCCAATCTAGCGTCACTACAGATCTTTCGTCTTGAATTATTATTAATTAAGTTATCATTTTTGATGTTATTAAAATAAATTTCATTAGTATTGAGACATTTCTTAACAATATTACAAGTTTTTAAAAGAGCTGCTTTTGAAATCTCAATAATTAAATTTGAGTTTAATTTTAAAATTTTAAGAATTACTCTAGTAACAGCCCTCGACTTCCACAAATTTTGGAAAAGAATTTAAGAAGAAATATATTTTATCTTAAACACAACTAATTTCTATTCATAATTTAATAAATACTTACTGTTGCAGTCAAAAATCACTTCGAAAATCACACACTTCACTTGGCGATAAATAAAAAAATAATGTGCACTGACCTTATATGGCATCTTTTTCTGCTACCCTTTGTAGCAATTCGCCTCTGCTTCTTAAACGGACCTACTGAAAATAAAGAAGCACAAAATCAGTTTAATGTGTTGTTAAATCAGTTGAAAATATTAAATAAAATTTAAATGTGATTTTTCTAAAAAAAATAAAAGGTATTGCTGACTTACCCTTTAATCCGGATCCTTGTAGCACGATTGCTTCCTCCATTTTCCCCATTGGCACTCACTAATAACTCGAAATTTTAAAACTTGTGCATTACTAAATACCTATTAAGTACTCTAAAATACTTAACACGCATGCACCATTTCTACACAACTTCGCACTGAACCACAAAATAAGTAATTTATTCGGATCGTTATTATAATACAATTAACTCGTACGGGAGCTTGGCTAGGACTGACTCGTTATTGTAATAATTGCCTTAAAAACGGCAGGATCCATAAAAACCCATTTTGTAAAAATTTCTTTGTAAAAGGTCACAAAATAATTCAATATTACACAATTTTACGTTCACTTTTTTGCACCTTTTACAGAACTTTTACCGAAAATTCATTTTTTTTAAAGGTTACAATGAAATTTTAATTTGCCATTAATCGATTTAGAAAAGGCAAAATAAATTTAATTTAGGACTAAACAAATTCAAATTAAGTTGTCAGTTACTTTACTTTTTCAAACATAAAATTAATCGCGAATTAAAATTTTATCGTAATTAAGAATGCTTTGTAAATAGTTTACAGATGTAAAATTTGTTTAAAACAAAAATCTGTTTAAGGGTACGCCACTGTTTTTCGCAACTTGAACTCAAACGTACAAGGTTTGCCGAGTTACTCCACCATTTTTTCACTTCTATATTATGTGTTGCATAACCTTCAGGCTAAAGCATTTTACTCTGTTCACTAAATTTTAAATTTTTAATGAGTTGACTCGTTACTCAATTAATATTTAAAAAAACTTAAAGATCACATAGATTCATAGTTTATATTACCTATCAACATAGTCTTATYTTATGAATTTTTTTACTGAATAATGGAGAATAAATATTAAGCTTCTGRAACGTTTTAATACTGTTATATAGGACAATAAAATATTTTGTTTGGGTTGAAAACATAATACCTTAAACATATACTTTTAGTTTTTAGTCTACATTAGATACTATAGTCTTAATTATCTTTAAAACTTGTTTATAACTCTGTTTATGTCATGTCGGCCCGGTAAAAGCTTAAATGGATTTAACCAGGTAGGTATTATTAAAAAGCAAGTTTTCAAAAATAATAGAAAAGTTTTTATGGTTACATTTATTACCTATTGTTGGAAAGCTTTTGTACATAAAAATCTTTATTTTAAATTCTTATTAAGATTTGGATAGATATGTTCTAGGGTAGCTTGCAAAACTTTTTTGCGCTGTTTCTTTTCAAATAAMATAAGTCATATTTTTTCCAAATCAACTTTATTATAATATATAAGATATCAGCAGTCTCTATCACATTTATCAATGTTTTTTGGGTGGTTCTTCTTCTTCAGGATGGGCGGCATTGTATTCCAGAGACCTTTGAATAGCCGCAGGGATTTCTGGCGCTACCGGAAGATGGGCTCCTTGAGGTTGGAATCCATTTTCGTTTGCGACATACTGGATGGTGTACACGACACCATCATCCCCTGTATATTTAAAACTACCAACAATTTCAGAAGCTGCGTTGTCAGTATTAGCATTTTTCAAAGAGCCTTGCTCATCGAAAGAGATCCCATTCCCAGTTTCATAAGATGTGTGGTAAGACCCATCGAAATTAACTTCTTGTTCTTGTTTGAGTATCGGGATTGGCTCGTTTGTTGAAAGAGACGCGGCTGAAGCCGTTACAATAATGGCACAAATCACCACCTGAAACAAAATTGTAGGTTTCGGTTTTATGATTATTTTCAGTACTTACAGCAAATTTCATGGTTGCGTTTGGAATTGAAGATTCAATCTAATGTAGACACTCCTTCTTCAGCTTTATTTATACTAATCACGGGCTCCTCAAAACGCTATGGTGTAATAGAAATTATATTGTGTTTACCAAATGTTACTCTCATCTTTTCCAAGGTTGGATCTTCTTCAAATTTCAAGGCTATGGAATAATTAACTGTCGATACCCAAAAATTTAAAATTTTGTTGCATCACTCGTATACATGCGACAAACATGAATTTAAAAAGAGTTTTTAATTAGACGTGTGTCCATCCCAGTGGAATGTAAGAGTAAAACGTTTAATATTCTGAATGCAAGGAACTAATTTACACTTTCATGACATTTTTGAATGCTTCCTACTTTGTTTTTTTTTATATTTTTGGGTTTAGGGAAGTGTGAGGCTGTATTTTTATATTGACGTAACTTTTTTCATTAAGAATTTAAATAAATATTTTATTTCAAAATTATATACAGTAGCTGGCTGTCCTCTAACACTTTGGCGTCAAGCAGTGACTTATTAATTAATACAAGATAATTTGATTAACATAATATTAGGTCATAACGTCAGTATATTAATAATTAGATAATTTGTATAATAACAAGTAACACCTAAAAAGTAAAAGTGTTTATGATTTTGAAGGTAATTAATTGAAATATTAAATCGATGTTTAAATAGGTATACGATTCGTTTTATGTGCGTAGGATTTATCGTTCCATAAATTGGCAGCAGTGTCAAGTTTCGGCAATGAATTTTTAAAAAATTTGCTACCCGTAAATCTCAATAGGTGAGATAGGCCGGATTGTTGAGCGGATGGATATCTTCATCAATAAATAATAATAATTTATGTGAGACTGTTTGAGTAAATGATTTATAAAATCCAAAGATTGCAAGTAAGTACAGAAACAGTGTAGAAACGGCAATAAATCTCACTGCTCGCAGTTTCAGCCACTGTTGCCTCTTGAGATTATTCTCCAACCTTTTGTCTTTTTAATTTAAGACTCTCTCGAGGTATTTTTGCTTAAATTGCGTTTTTAAAGCGATGATTAACTCTTAAAGGGGTCACAAGATTATTAAACTGTGATCAAATTTATTCCAACATTTTTCTTTGTTTAATGACTTTGTGGTTGAGCATTTTTGACCAGACATTACAGGAATCAGCATCGAAATATATCCAGACACTTATCTGGCATAAAAGCTGATTAAATATAACCGGTAAAAGGTTAAACCTTTTCAATTCGAAATCTTGTATAGGGGTAATTGAGTCTATTGTTAGCAACCACAATAGGGGCCACATATTGCTTTTTAAGCGCCGACAGATTAAACTATTGCCATCGTGAAATATGACTGCCAATGAGAAAATAATAAATAGAACTTGAATCCACTCTAGGTAAGCGTTTTTGTTAAAAATTTTTGACGGTCGTTAAAACCTTGTCGCTGTGATTTATGTGAAATTTATCATTTAATTATTGCAAATGCGTTTTTAATAATTATCTAATTAAAAACCCAGCCTATAAAACGGGCCCATCCTTGAAAGCGAGCTGTGATTGATGATGATTTCGGCATAACCGCGCCGTTAAAACACTATAAATTTTCGTAACAAAACAATTCGAAAAACGTAAAAGGGGACTTCATGCCACATAATTATCACTTTATATACCTTCACTCCCGGGGGGGTAGCGCGCAGGGGTCTACCTCAAACACGGCCGAAAATTGATACTTAAAATTTCAGGAGATAAAGTTTCGATTCCCACTGATTTCTCACGATTTATTTTAAGAGGGTTGACGTTACGTAACGACTTGTACGCTCAACACGTATCAGAGCTACACGCTATGAAAATTTAGTCGTTTTGTTATCATGTTTAAACGGAAAATAAATTTTATGGACTCGAATTTTAGTGTACATTTCTATGCTAAACTGGACTGGCATTTTCAATAAAATTTTCCACGTTTGATTTCAGGATTTTGTTGATCACATCGCGTGATTCAAGGTCTGTTTTGATGAGCACATTTAACTGAAGTAAATTTCTTTGATTCTGAGAATCTTTAGAGAAATTTCTTGTTTAATTTCCAGCATTTATATTTCAGTCTCTCAGGTGTAGTGTGAATTGATGGACTAGAAACTGTTTTATTTTGAAGAAAAAAAAAAAGGAAAAAGTAGAACATGTGTTGAGAAAACATAAATCATTGCCAACTGGGGCTTATTTTAAATCCTCGAAATGAGGAAATTTGTAATGAAATTTTTCTTTGTAATATCACGAATATTCTTTAAGCTTCAAGATTTAACTTCATTTCTATTTAATTAAAAGTGTCCCCAGAACATTAATCTTATMAAAATATTCTGCTAACACAAGTGTCAACTTCGACTTATGATTCTGAAAATAATCCATTCAAAGTTTAATCGAGTTTCATCCTGACACAAATGCAGTATCGGACCACCTAGGGATTGATGAACGATATGCAAGCCAAGAATTCTGTAATGTAATAGCGCCATGATAATGCTTTATTTTTAACAAAAAGTCGGTATGCTGTGTCCAGATATCTTCATTAACCGTTCAAAATTATTATAACTTCTGAAATAACCGTCCACCATAAATATTTACTTGGCAAGATTGTCAAGATATGGACTGTCATTATCTCGAATTTTTCTCCAACGTGACTGTTATTTGTTTTCATTTTTAATGATGCATCTCGCGATATTGAGGCATTCAATTACTTTTATCTTGTCAGGTATCTTCAAGCGCATGTTTATTTTCCATTTTGTTCTTTTCTCCTGGACCCATCCCGGCCAGACTTATTCATTGATAGTGCTTTGTCATTGTCACTGATTATGGAGGAGGTGCAAATTATAGTCCAGATCTTCCACTAGACTTAGAAAAAACACTGATGCAACAAAACTTGGTAATTCTTTGAGTTTTAATCGGATAATCGAAAAAATGTCCGTCTTTGTTACCTGAATAATGAAGTACCGTGAAAAAATCGAATAAAAGCAGGGAAGTAACGCCATTGAAACCAAATAAAAACAGAATAATAGAAACGTGCCAGGAATTTTAATGCCACCCTCAGTCCTTTATGTGGGACAAATTGTTGTCTTTATATATCGAGAAAACTACTTTTTGATAGTGATGAGCAGAAGCTATTATCTGGGTACGGGTCACAAAGAGCGTTTGATTGACCGGAAAAGTGTTCACCCCTGCTGCTCCGATATTAACTAGTTGATGACTGGAAACACCGACAAAGCTAGTTTATACATCCATCAGACCAAATATAGTCCACGATTTCAGTTCTTGTCAGTTATTATCACACTCTGTGCTCATTTAATCSTTAGGGTTGAACAAAGATTGACGGGGGATAAAAGGTCTGAGTGTAATGGAAGCCCAAAAATAAATTTAATCCTTTTAGAGACATGAGAACTTGTCATTTTGTGATACTTTTGAGTAGTATATAAAATGTTACTTGTGGACCAGGACATTTGGCGTCTTAAAAAACAAGGCAAAATCTTACAAATTTAGCTGTTTGTCCAAAAGCAAACAACCGAAAAGGGCCCAAAACCTCTCAAAAATCATTAATTTTTATCCACCCCAAAAGTTCCCAAATATGTGTAGACCACCAAAAATTGGGCACACGAAAAAACCGCTAAAATCTCCCAAAATAATGGAAAATTACCTCAAGAACGCTCTAAAAAACTAACAAAATACCTTGTTTTTACATACCCCAAAATGGCTTTTTACTTCTGCACCAGGACATTTGGCGTCTTAAAAAACAAGGCAGAATCCTATAAATTTAAAAAAAAGATCTAAAAAACTTACAAAATGTCTTGTTTTTAACACCCCAAAATGGCTTTTTATTTCTGGACCAGGACATTTGGTGTCTTCAAAAAACAAGGCAGAATCTTACAAATTCAGCTGTTCTCCCAAAGGTAAACATCCGAAAAAGACCTAAAACYCTTCAGAAAGCATTAATTTTTATGCACCCCAAAAGTACCAAATATCTGTAGACCACCAAAATTGGGCACACGAAAAAAACTTTAAAACTACTTTAAGAACGCCCTAAAAAAACTAACAAAATACCGTGTTTTTACACACCCCAAAATAGCTTTTTATTTCTGGATCGAGCCATTTGGCGCATGCAAAAAAAAAGTAAAAATCTATCTAGATAGAATCCTAAAAAATTATATAATCTCCCAAAAGTAAACAACCGAAAAAGACATAAAATTCTTCAAAAATCATAATTTGTGCTTATTTTTTCATTACCATTCAACCCCTCCTTATTGATGGTCGTGCCGATGATTCTCCTCGATAGACACATACCTATAAACGGTATAAGCTGTCGTGAAAGAGGAGATGCTGTAAGAATAGATCGGATTGTAGTCGGAATGAAAACGGGGAATGTTTTGCACTTATTTTTATTAATTCTGTAAATATTCTGAATCCAAGATTCATCATGAAGGCATAGTCGAATATTGGGGTATTACAGATAAAGCTTTCAGAATCGATGTAGACAAAGAAGACAAAGTACTATGGAAAAATTTAAACCTCCCCAATATGGGGGTTGAATGGTAATGAAAAATAAGCACAAATTGTGATTTTTGAAAAATTTTATGTCTTTTTCGGTTGTTTACTTTTGGGAAATTATATATTTTTTTAGGATTCTGCCTAGATAGATTTTTACTTTTTTTTGCATGCGCCAAATGGCTCGGTCCCCGAAATAAAAAGCTATTTTGGGGTGTGTTTTTTTTGTTAGTTTTTTTAGGGCGTTCTTAAAGTAGTTTTAAAGTTTTTTTCGTGTGCCCAATTTTGATGGTCTACAGATATTTGGTACTTTTGGGGTGCATAAAAATTAATGCTTTCTGAAGGGTTTTAGGTCTTTTTCGGATGTTTACCTATGGGAGAACAGCTGAATTTGTAAGATTCTGCCTTGTTTTTTGAAGACGAAAAATGTCCTGGTCCAGAAATAAAATGCCATTTTGGGGTGTTAAAAACAAGACATTTTGTAAGTTTTTTAGATGTTTTTCGAATGTTTACTTTTGGGAAAACACTAAATTTATAGGATTCTGCCTTGTTTTTTAAGACGCCAAATGTCCTGGTGCAGAAGTAAAAAGCCATTTTGGGGTATGAAAAAACAAGGTATTTTGTTAGTTTTTTAGAGCGTTCTTGAGATAATTTTCCATTATTTTGGGAGATTTTAGCGGTTTTTTCGTGTGCCCAATTTTTGGTGGTCTACACATATTTGGGAACTTTTGGGGTGGATAAAAATTAATGATTTTTGAGAGGTTTTGGGCCCTTTTCGGTWGTTTGCTTTTGGGCAAACAGCTAAATTTGTAAGATTTTGCCTTGTTTTTTAAGACGCCAAATGTCCTGGTC